GGGAGGCCTACTAGGCCCAAAATGGGGCACGGGGGGTGGGGGGGTGCAGCGCCCACCTCACCCCATTTTTTGCTCCCAGGAGGCTGCAAGGAGGCCTACTAGGCCCAAAATGGAGCACCGGGGGAGGGCAGTGTGTCCCCCATGGCCTGTTTTTGCTCCCAGGGGAGTGCAGGAGGCTGAATGCTGCCTGTCACACACCCCTGGCCATGCCCACTATGGCCACGCTCACCCACTGCTCATTATGGCAGAGAAGCGTTGCTTGGCAACTGGCATGTTCTTATGATGGTTTTCAGTGTGCCGGGGTCACATGATCCCCTTTTGCGAACTTTCCGAAAGACCAAAGTCAATGGGGAAGCCCAATTCACTTAACAACCCGGTTACTAACTTAACAATTGCTGTGGTAAGAAAGGTTGTAAAATGGGGTAAAATTCACTTAACACATATTTGGGCTCAACTGTGGACATTAAGTCGAGGAATACCTGTATAGAATCCTGCCTCTAGTTATGCTCGCATAACATGCGTAGCCTAGTTAACTAAGCTAGTTAACTAAGCTAGAAGGGACTGGTTTTATTTTGATACAGCCTGACATTGTCTGGAAGAAAAGTAACTCCAGAGCTGATTATACATGTTGTTTAACTATCTGGGCAATAATTAAACCATCATCAGTGGACATGAGAACAACTCTATTGTCACCTCTTTTTTTTTTTTTAATGTCCCTCCCCGTTCTGAATGGGGTTAGATAAGCCCCACATTCTCTCTACAGAGTTCCATCCACAGAAACGGAATCTGTCATTACTCTTCCAATTCTGTCCTGATGACATTTAGTTTTATTAAAAATTTAAGAAGGGAAAAAAATATACCCTTAAAAGTAACGATGATGTTGACATATTCAGTGCTAACACCTGAAGTTCAGGATTCTAACGATACAATTAACATCTAAGTTTTCATTTACACACCACTAAAGTGGCCACAGTCTGGTGGGCTGACTCGTATCCTGCTCCACAAAAATAATCTCACAGATAGGAATTAAACTTTGCCCAGACATTAATAAAATAGACATAGACATGGACACATGAAAAAAAAAACTGGTACAAGTAAAAGGATATAAATAGGCAAAACATAGCCATAAACACATAGAATGATTACGTATAAATGTGGACAGTAGGACAGGGACAGAAGGCACGCTGGTGCGCTTATGCACGCCCCCTTAGGGACCTCTTAAGAAACATGAAAGGTTCACAGTAGACAGTTTAAGGTAAAAGGTATGGGGGTTAGAGAGACTAACAACAGGATCAGGTAGAGTGTTCCAGACATTTACTACTCTATTGCAGAAGTCATATTTCCTACAATCAAGACTAGAGTGAATTACATTGAGTTTGAATCTATTGATAGACCTTGTGTTATTACGGTTGAAATTAAAGTACTCATTTACAGGTAGAACATTTTGGTAAATAATCTTATGAACTAAGCAAAGGTCGGAATGTAGACCGCATAGTTTGAGGCTATCCAGATCTAAAATTTCAAGCCTGGTGGTATAGGGAATTTTATTTCGAGCAGAAGATTTGAGTACTCTTCTAGTAAAATATCTCTGGACCCTCTCTAATGTATTGATGTCTGAAATACAGTGAGGGTTCCAGGGTTCTATATTGCCTTAATTCGGGCTGACTTTGTATAAAATAGAACACCGCTTGGGGGGGGGCAAAAAAGCCTTACTAAGCAGGTATATACAAAAGTATGAAGGCTATTGCTTAAAAGCATTATAAGCCGCCCTGAATCTCCGGAGAAAGGCGGCATATAAATCAAACTAATAAATAACTAATAAATAAATAGAGTCAAGGCAACTGGATGGAGCTGAGCATTTACTGGCTGGATACCCTTCCTGACACCACATGGAGTTCACAGCAGATTTTTTTTTTTTTTTGTCTTTGCGTCCTAGGAGATAAATATCTGCTACTACCTAGGATTGAACTCTCCACCTCCCAAGTGGGAAGCAAGCATCTTCACCACTGGGCCACCAATGCTGCTCAATAGCTGGCTCATCTCATTTTAAAGTAAACCAAATAACCATTTCCCAGCAACATATTTATTCCTCTCAAGACCATTGAGATTAAAATCAATCAGTCAATGAATTCGATAAATCAAATCAATAATTCAAGGTAGCACGGAAAGATTTCCCTCATCCATTCAGTGGCATTTGCACTGGGCATCCAGAAACTCAAAATTTCGGTAATGATGTCAAAATGCACAAGCAGAAAAGGGTCAGGGCTGCATTGCAAATTTGTGTCATCTTGCCTTTTTTGGACCCATTCCTCCCATGGAGAGGATCAACATTTTATCCTTCAACAAATCTGTTGGGAAGATCATCCCAAGAATGCCAAATCAGCTTCCAAACTTAGTGAGGATTTGAGCCCAGATCTTATCCAAACTTCTTGAGCTGGGGGTTGGGCTAGAAGACCTCCAAGGTCCCTTCCAACTCTGTTCTTCTATTATTCCTTCCATTGTACCTGTCTGGCTCCCACTGATCTTCTTGTTGAGGTTACTCTTTTCTAAGCTAACAGCTCTTGGTATGATGATGAGTGTATTTTTTATGCACATTAAGTCCACTCATGTTGCTTTCCCCATAATACTTGTAATATATGAAGCCAATGCTGCAATTATTTTCAGATTATAGTCTAATAATACCTGATAATTTGTTAGAAAATATTCATGAGGGTATTATGCAGCTCTCTGACATTTAAAAAATAACAATTCACAGTCCATTTTCCAAGCTTGGGTGCTGTCAAAGGAGGGTTTGCTACAGCACTCCACAATGCAAACAGGCACTTAATCTAGAAAAATGTCTCGTTTGATACAGATGAGTGCCAAGTTAACGGACCAGATACATCCGACACGTCCCATTTTTTAAATCAAAAGTTATAACTGAGATCATTCTACATCTTTGTTCTAGTCACTTCTTTGCAAATATGTAAAAACTCTTTTTTTTTTCTTTTTCTTCCCTGGAAGTGGGGGGGAGGAAGCAGACCAACAATAAATGTGTCCCTTGGGTCACCTGACTTAAAAATTGCTGCTTAGCTGCAGACGGCGATTCTCAAGACACCAACGGAATGGAAGTTTGATAAAGCCTACGTTTTGCATCTTATCTCCAAAAAGAATTAATAAAAACTGAAGTGTTTATTTATGGAGTGACACAGCAGCCTAGTTAGCGAGCAAGAACTGATAATCAAATAATGAGAAAGCCAGGAAAACAGCTGCTAAGGTGCTCCAAGGGTACCACTTGGAAATGCAACTTTGGCACCCACTCTGTGGCTTTCCCATCGTACTTCTTTTTTTTTTTTTTCAACTAAATCAGAATATCAAAATGGTGAACATCACTGAGCTCAAACAGAAATGGATAGCAATTTTTCCTCAGCTCAATTAGTTACTCTCTGAGCAATACAAGAAAAGAGATTTTCTTCTTCTTGGTATGAATAAGAAATGGAGGAAGAACTCACTGGGTCCAAATTTGGCTCTAAATTTATCTCAATCTATCCCCAGAAATAAAATTTACTGAAAATCTGAGATGCAGTTTGCGATTGTCATCGCTCAAAAGTGCATTACATTAAAGCAGGGGTTCCTACACTCCGTGTTCCCTTTGAGTTATTGGAAATTGTACACTTTTGCTCCAAAATATTAAGAGCTCCGTCTCAGATAGCATGGCAGTGCAGTTGGAGTGATTCATGGATGGTAGTTTGGAGAATATTCTGTTCCTTCCCCATTGCAGCTTAATTGCTTTAATTGCCACCATTCCAGGAAGTTAACATTATTTGATTGCTATATTTTTAAATACATTGTACAAGATGTACTTAGGGATTTCATAGACTTGAGGAAAAAGACAGTTTTGTTTTTTCATTTTTTTAAATAGAGAATTGGACATTTGATGAATCAAAGCATCTGGAATGTGGCTGTATTGTGGAAAGGGCCTTAAACAAGCAGTGTCTTGAAACAAGAAATTCATTTAGTCAAGGTCAGACAGAGAAGGACTGACCTAAGAACAGTTAAGAGTTTGGCTAAGAATAAAAGAATCTTGCCTTTAAGATGGATTTATCTGTTTAAAGGGGGCGCGATCGCCCAGCAGTTAAAGACACTGAGCTTGTCAGCTGGAAAGCTGATTGTCTGGGTTCGAGACCCAACCATTGTGTGATGGGTGAGCTCCGGTTCCTTGCTCCAGCTCCTGCCCACCTAGCAGTTTGAAACCATGCAAAGGCAAGTAGATAAATAGGTACCACTTTGGTGGGAAGGTAACAGAGTTCTGTGAGCCTCAGTGTACAGTCATGCTGGCCACATGATCACAGAATGTGTCTTTGGATAACGCTGACTCCCTTGGCTCGGAAACCGAATGAGTACCACCCCCTAATGTCAGATATGACTGGACAGAGGAAACCTTGACCTTGACCTTTGTATGTTTAACTCGATTTTGTATTTTCATTTACCTAGAGACATCAAGAACTGAACCCAACTGTTCAAGTGGTTTTTTTACCATTGGCTTGGTCAATGTCACAAAATATGGTCTAGAAAAGGTAAAGGCATAAAAAGAACTAGGATGGAGCAGCTCAGGAAGAGAAAAAGCCTGTGTGTGTATGTGTGAGAGAGAGAGAGAGAGGGAGGGAAGGTGGGAGGGGAAGAGAGAGGGAGAGAGAGAGAGGGAGAACTACAAGGAGTCCCAAAGCGCATCTAGTCATTTTATTCAGGATGAAGTCCTTTAGGTTGAGCACAATGACATGGATAATGTTTCAGAAATGATAGCATCATTCTCTACAAAGGAAGTGGAGGTGTGTAGACTGATCCTAGCAGCATTTCTAAACAAATGCAGTCTGTTGGATTCCCAGTATAACCAAGGACCTAATCTGGAACATGCTGAGCTTTACTGTTAATCCATCCCAACTCCCCGGTCACTTTGTTCTCATCAAATACCTATTTCCACCACCACCCACTCTCCAGTCCCCGAGTCAAAATCCACTCACTGTTGTAGCTGCCATGGCTGTAATTCTCTGCTGCTGCCACGTTCTGCTGTAATAGCCCTTCGGATGCGTCACTTCCTGACAGTGAATGGGTGAAGACAAGGAGAAATCGGGGAGGAGGGAAATAAACAACAGAGAAGAAAAGCAGGGAGGGAAGATGAGGGGGACGTGAAGGGATGAAGCAGGGGACAAGAAGGGAAAGGGTGTATCTTTAACTCCATCGTTTGTCTGGCTGCAACATTCCAACAGCTTAATGCATTTTTTTTTTTCAGGTTTGTATATAGTCGCCTATGGCAAGTATGATTTTTTTTCCCCTCCAGGTGACCGACCTGTAAGGAAACCTTTACAAAAGCCAGTAACAATAACAGTAGCAGAGTTGGAAGAGATCTTGGAAGTCATCTAGTCCAACCCCCTCCTCTCGCAGGAGACCTGTACTATTTCTGATAAATGGCGGTCCATACTCTTCTTAAAAAGTCTCCCGTAGTGGGGCACCCACAACTTCCAAAGCAATTTGTTACACTGGTTCATTGTCCTCATTCTTAGGAATTTTCTCCTTAGTTCAAGGTGGCTTCTCTCCTTGGTTAGTTTCCATCCCTTGTTTCCTGTCCTGACTACGGGTGCTTTGGTAAATACCTTGCCCCCCTCTTCCTTGTGGCAGCCCTTCAAGTATTGGAAGACTGCTATCATGTCACTTCTGGTCCTTCTTTTCACTAGACTAGGTATCTTTTGCTCCTTCCTTCTAGGTCAGGGGTTTCAAACTTGAGTTCATTGAGGGTCGCATCAGGGTTCTGTTTGACTTCGGGGGACGGGGCGGGGTGGGGCCAGGGTGGGTGTGGCCAGCTCAACATCACTCATGTCGGGGATGCCTGTGGTGGCCCAAGCTGTTGTGACCCAGGCCCAAGTAGGTAGTATTAGACGCAAACAGTTCCAAAACAAACAGACTTTATTAGAACAGCTGAGAATTAACTCATTCTCAGCGTAGTCCAAACTAAGTCAAAGAAAGTCTTCATAAAGTCTTATCACCAACCTTGGTATAATTAGGCAAACTGCCAAAGGCTTCTCTTGGCAAAAGTTCAGAAGCAGAGGATGCCGAGCAAGATAAGAACCAAGTTTATCAACGTTGTTTTCTGACAAAGAGCCCAAGAGCGGTTGCTGGTCTTTTAAGCCTTATGGGAGGGGCCAATCATCTCTTGGCCCTACTCCTGAGTTGTCCTCTCTGCTTTAGCTGCTCTTGCCTTCTGGCACCTCTTCTCATACGTGCACTAGGAACAGGCTCCTCCTGTTCCTCTGCCTCTCTACTGTCAGCCTCTGGAGGCTCCGAAGTCTGCACATCACTCCCAGATGGCCCTGTCCCCATCTCTGCCTCCGACGCAGAGCCCTCATCCGGGCCTTCCCCAGCCTCCAGGACTGGCCCATGTTCTTCCTCAGCCTCATCGCTGTCTGACTCCGCTGCCAGCTCCGCAGGCTGCTGGTGGACCACAACACAAGCGCTCTGCCAGAGAAAACGGACTCCCAAGCTCCATTTCCGGCTGCAATGGCCTCTTACAACCCTCTGCCAGTGAAAACGGAGCTTGGGAGGGCCACCCACAGAGGCACTGCAGGCTGGTCCTTCGCGGTTTCCAGGATGGCCCTGTGGGTCAGATCTAACCACCCCACGCCAGATCTGGCCCATGGGCCTTGAGTTTGACACCCCTGTTCTAGGTCATTGAACCTACAAGCATAAGCTGTTAAGCTAATGATACACATTTTGTGAGTGTATTGCTTAGCATGATGTTATTTGGGGTCAGGAGCCACGCTCCTCAGGTTTCCTACTGAAATAGTCTTCTTCACCAACCAAAAAAAGCCATCTGAAAACTATGCCATTTCTTTCTCTTTTTTTGCCACTCTTAAAAATAAAGGTTTCATATAGTCGGAGCATTCATTCATGCTTTATATGCACAATTTTCCCCTGCTCTTTATTATTTCATGAATTCTAATTGAACTAGAGGAATCCCTAACATTCTAAAATGCACATTTTTTAAAATGTTTTTGTAATCCATCTTTATTACGGTACTTTTACAAATAACTCAAGGCGACAAACATATTCAACACACCTTCTTCCTGCTGTTGTCCTTTAAATAAAGATCCCAGTGAGATGGGTTGGGCGGAGAAAGAGGGACTGGCCCAAGGTCATCTAGCTGGCTTTCATGGCTAAGACAGAACTTGAACTCACTGTCAACCGTGGTCAGTTAGAAAAGGAAGACTTTCAGCCCATGGTTAGCCAAAAGTATACTTTACTAAAGTCAAGTGGTTACAAGAAGAAGCAAAGCTGGATCTGGGGTTTTCACGCCCAAAGCGCAAAACTTTCCCTTGTTCCCCATGGTTATCAAAGAGTGTCCAACTAAATGCTACCAAATTGTTTGGGTAGCAGTCCCTGTCTTCGTGGGTTGGATGGTTCTGCATTCCTTAGCGTGACCTTGGAATGGATGCAGTTTTCATGGGACAGCACAATGCATAGAGTCTATTCCTCATGCTAACCCTCCCTTTATCCCACCCTCCCTATCTCCCTCCCCCATTGCATATGTATAGGCAATGGATGCAGCAGGCAATGCATAGCCTAGCAGAATGGCAGCCTTTACACTCATGGTCTCCCAGTTTCTAGCCTGGCGCTTTAACCACTATACACAAAACAGCTTTCTATGCACTATGAAACATTTGCACAGGCCATCCCTTCCAACGTTTCAATTTCTTTGCATCTTTTCTTTGTGAATCCTTGATAAAAACTCTTTCTCCCAAAGATCACGTCACATTTTCTCTAATGCATGTTTCCACATCAGTAAAAAAAAAACCCACATACACACACTTGAGTGACAGTATCTGCAGTCATATTGAGATTGCTTTGTTGACGCTACTGTAACAATGCTCTCACCTGTAACACTCAGGAAAGATACAAAAGGAAGCAAAGTACTAAATCTGGAAACGACAAAAAAGGAGTAGGGGAATTGTTAACAATTGGACCCGTCTGGAAGTAAATAAATCAAGTCTCTTAGAACTCTGCAATCTAAAAATTGAAAGTGACAATTTCCTGTTCTTTACCCAATGCTTGCTGGAAGCTTTCCCTAACAAAAGGAGGAGATGCGTACAACCTTCGCCTCAATATTGTTAAATGGAAATACCCCTAGAAACATTTTTGAAAGCCAACTTTCACTGCTGGGTCATAGAAATGTTCTCAGCATCCGCTTCTTTAAAACGAAACTACCCCTTTGTGGATGCAAATTTCAATAACCTGCTCTTTTTCTAAACCCATCTCTCAGACACTAAGGACACTTAGAAAAACTTGTCTAGTGCAACCTTGACTAAAGCTAGCGAAGTCTGTTTTGGCGATTGTCATAAATCTTCTCCCATTGAAAGCTGTGTTGGATTTCTTTAACATCGCTACCAACGGCAGCCGTTGCAGTGATTTTGTTAAGGATGCCATAGAAGAGAAAGAAAAAGGGAATAAAAATCTAGTGTTTTCTGTGTGTGGCTTGATTTCTTGTTCAACGAGAGGTAGAACTCAAGACCGAAAACGATTTGGAGTTATGACTTGGGGTTATTTGGAGATGCTACAAGATGCTGTCCCAAAGACAATACAGGTAGTCCTCAACTTACAAGGACAATTGAGATCAGAATTTCTATTGTTAAGTAAGTCACACTCAATTTTAATAACTTTTTTTTTTTTTGGCCATACTTGCTAAGCAAACGTCTTGCAGTTGTTAAATTAGTAACATGGTTGTTAAACAAATCTAAATTCTGCCATTGACTTTGCTCGTCAAAAGCCCCCTGGAATAGTTGCAAATGGTGAAAAACATGGCCCCAGGACACTGCAACTATCATAAAATATATGCCAATTGCCAAGCGCCCAAATTTTGATCACAACACTATGGGGATTTTGTGACGGTCATAACAGCCATAGCCCTTAGACTTACCGTATTTTTTGGAGTATAAGACATACTGGAATATAAGACACACCTTACTTTTTGGGGAGGAAAATACGAAAAAAAACTGATCGGCGGGTGGATCCGCCTCCCGGAATACCCCCCAATCAGCTGTTCCCAGAGGTGAATTTTAGCAACAGGTTCGTTGGTTGTGAACTTTGTGCCTCACTTTTTTTTCTGCCTCTGAAACTTCTGAAACTCTGTTTCAGAAAAAACTTTTCTTTCTGCCTCTGAAAGCCTCTGAAATTTCTGAAGCTTCTTTCAGGGGTTTTTCTGAAGCTTCTTTCAGAAGCTATTCTGAAGGACTATCTGTACTCTGTTCAATCTCCTTTCTTTGGTATTGGTATGTAGATTAACCTCTTCCGTCCTGTTGGTTATTATGTCATTCTCCAGATTTGTTAGCATAGTTTGGTTAGAACCTTTACTGATTCTTCTTTTATTGCTTGCCATATTATTTAGATAAAAGCCTTTCAGAGGCTTTTTTTCTGAAGCTTCTTTCAGAGGCTTCTTTCAGCCTCTGAAATCTCCATTTGCGAGACTGGATGGGGCTACATTTGGAGTATAAGATGCACCCAGATGCATCTTATACTCCGAAAAATACGGTATATACCTCTTCACAGTGCTTTACAGCCCTCTCTAAGCAGTTTGCAGAATCAGCACATTGACCCCAACAATCTGGGACTTTATTTTACCCACCTCCGTAGAATGGAAGGCTGAGTCAACTTTAAACCAGTTGGTTCAGGATCGAACTACTGGCAGTGGGCAGAGTTAGCCTGCAATACTGCATTCTAACCACTGGGGAGGGAGAGAGGGAGGGAGGAAGAAAGCACTTAGACTTATATACCACTTCACAGTGCTTTACAGCCCTCTCTAAGTGGTTTGCAGAGTCAGCACATTGACCCCAACAATCTGGGTTCCTCAATTTTACCAACCTCGGAAAGATGGAAGATTGAGTCAACCTTGAGCCAGTCAGAATCGAACCCCTGGCAGTGAGCAGAATTAGCCTGTAATACTGCATTCTAACCACTGCGCCACCATGGCTCATAAGTGCAAGTACCGGTTGTAAGTCACTTTTCCCACGGCCGTCATAACCTCGAACGGTTGCTAAGCGAATTTTTATAA